TGGTCTTGTTGCCAGGGCGACTATGTAGAACGCATCTAGTCCGAAGTCGTCTGCCATAGTAGTTGTCATGGTTCCTAAAATCTGACAGTGGACTTGATACATTTTCCACTGTCAGATGCTGGGAATCATCACAACTACTATGGCAGACAACTTCGGACTAGGTACGTTCTACATAGTCGCCCTGACAACAAGACCAAGTTGCGACAATGAAGTCAACCAACTTCTATAAATCGAAAGAAGACTGCCATCATAACAGAGGTCACAACATCTTGGTCTTCATATATTCTATTAAACCAAATATTGTTCAAGAAGTAATATTCTAAAATTAAAAAAGGTCTCGAATACTACTCAAAACTATTATAAGTAGCACCGTTTATTGCCTCATTTTAAATGTTAATTGGCTTATCTTAAAAACCATAATTACCCGTTGACTCACTAGTTAATGCTAATGTCACCACTTTGCACGCTCAACCGGGGTTCGAACTTCGTTGTGGGGCGAATGAAATCTGGTTGAAGTTTTAATTTCAGTTCGATTGAGGTGAGATAACATTTGCGGAGACCAGGTTAATGGAAAGCAAAGCAACGTAAGGCATACTTATATTGTGCTAGGAAAAGTAAATTACCGATTGTTCATTACCTCAATAAAATAGAGTATTCTTTAAATTTAGTTATACGCAAAATAAAGTGAAAATTAAATTTCATCATAAGCTATTCCTCATTGTACCTTTCTAAATTACCTTACTCGATCCAAAGTTATTTAATAATTATGCACTAAATATTGGTCATATCTTTGTATATCCTCATTTTGAGTGAGATTTATCGATGCTGGTGATTTAAATGGTTATGAGGATAATTAAGACATATCGAAGTATATTGGCAAACTCAAGCCTCTTCAAATCAGTATATAAAGACCTATCATTATTTAAAAAGTAATATTGAAGAATAGGAAATGATTTCGATACACATTAAAGCCAATATATGTTGTATCGTTGGCTGTCTTGAATTACACGTGAATTGCCTTGCGCCATATCACAGATCGTTCTTCTGTCTCACTGGCTAATGCCAACTTCACCAGTTTGAGAGCACAACCCGGGCTCGAATCGCATTGTGGTGCAAATGAGACCTGGTTGAAGTCGAAATTGCAGTCCGATCAAGGCGGGAACACCACTTTGGAGACAATTGCATTTAGGCCTACTCCATTATACGCCTCTGCTTTATCTCAATCCACCCAAAATGACTACATTTGGTATTAGATATGGAGACTAAGATGGTGTGACCTTTCGTTTGGTCGCAGTCTTCTTTATTTGTATAGTCTTGGCCTGACCTAGTTTTCGCAACTTGGTCGGAGCGACAGGAAACTTTATAGAACTGTCCTGGTCCTACGTCCTCTGTCATACTATTCATAAGGATTTACAGCATCAATTGGTTGGGTTGGTACACTACTAGACGTTTTGCCGACATAGAAATTGGCAAAGACGGTGAGATGTGCCATTCTTAACGCAGAGTTATGACTTAGTAAAGTAACAAGTTAGTACATTCCTCACTCAGAGAAGCATCATAGCTTGACAAGCAGGCAATCTAGATGAAATGTACCAAACTAGGCTAGGTTTAGAGGACTCAGCTGATGTTACGCTTTGATGCCATTACTACGAATTGTGGTTAGTGGCCCCTTAACTATATCCTGTATGTATACACACACACACCTGCAAACACAAACACACAAATGTAAATCTACTTAGAACCACATGAAAAGGAGCTAACCAAATCATTATATATATATATATATATATAAGTAAAATAATTTTCTCTCTAAAAATCTAAATGAAAATTCTAATCATTGCTTATATATGTGCATAGCCAGCTAATTATTTTCTACTTTATTTCTGTTGCCTATGTATATATAGAGTGTATGATAATATTAGTTTGTCAACTTCTGGTAGCTTAAGCTTGAAGGTTTCGTAAGGCAGGGTACAGAAAAACAATGTCGATGAATAGATTTGGTGGTGCGCTCTTCGAATTCGCCCTGACGATATAAAAATGTGAAAGTACGGGCAAACTCAAATATTAATTTATTTATTTAGGGATAGAAAATAA